CGTCAACTTTTTATCCATAGCAATCCCTTGTGCCCCTTTGAGGCAATCCTGTTACATGGGATCACTTAAATATCTGACAGTTCTCTGCTGCACTACTGCAACCATTGTTGAACGATCTTCAGTAAATTTTGCTTTTGTGTGATAGTAGTGGCACTTGCTTGACACACACATGTCCACCTTCTGTTGGATTACCCTTAGGAATAAATACAAATATGGACCTCTTCCAGTCTGTTGGCCTTAGCTCTCTTCCACATTTCTTGGCATAGGTGAGTTAGTGCTTGCATCACTGCACTAGTTTTTTAAAATAACTCAATTGGTATTTCATCAATTACTTGGGTTTTTTTTACTAATAACTTCTTTGCAGCTTGAACTTCCTCTTTTCAGTGTCATTGGTTCTTAATCGTACCTCTTGAAATGAATGAGCATAGACGAATTCTTTTCAGTACAATGACTCTGTATTCCTCCCATCTTTGAATGCTTTCTGCATCATTCAATATCTTTTGCCCATAGAATTCTTCCATATCATATAACTCAAATCTTGACATTTTTTCTTTTGTTCTTTCACCTTGAGGAATGCTGAACATATTCTTCTCTTTTGGTTTTATAACCCCAGGTTTTTGCACATTTTATTATAGTAATTCATTTTGTATTCACAAGCCAACCTTCAGAATCTTAATTTCAGCCCTTTTACATCATTGTTCCTTCATCCTTACCTTTAGCTACTCTATATAGGAGAGCAAATTCCAAAGTCTCTTCTGATAGCCACTTGGTCATATTTTTCTTTCCAATCTTTTTAATGACCTTTTGCTCTCTTCATGTGTGATGGCCTTGATATTATCCCACAACTTGTATGGTCTTTGGTTACTAGTGCTCAGTGTGTCAAATCTCTTCTCTGGATTTTCTCTAAATTTAAGTGAGTTTTCAAGATTGTGCTTTGACATAGACTTGTTTTAATTTACTTCAGCTTTAAGGTAAACTTGCATATAAGCCATTGATGATCTGTTCCATAAATAGCCCCTAAGCCTGTCAGTTGACTTTTTTACTGAGTCTCCCCATTATCTTTTTCCACCATTGCAACCGACTTAACCTATGCATTCCATCCAGTGAGTTCCTCGTGTATAGTTGCTGTTTTTCTTAGCAAAAGGTATTGCAATGAAGAAGTCATTGACCTTACAAAATTCTAACATGCGATTTCTAGCCTTGTTTTATCATCAAAGCCATATTTTCCAACCTCTGTCTCTTCCTCTTTGCTTCCAACTTTCATATTCCAGTAACCAGTAATTATCAGTGCATCTGGATTATAAATTTGATAAAGTTCAGATTGTAGATGTTGGTAAACATATGATTGTTTAATTCAAAATGCTCAATTCCAGTCAATTTCAGTTCACTAATGCCTAGGATTTTGCTTTCTGTATTTATGATTATTAATGGATATTTGCAACTATTTCTTCTTACCCTCATTGTTTCTCTCATCTTCTCATGTCACTTCAGTAAATGAAGGTCCCAAGAATTTAGCTCAATTCATGTCATTAAGGTCAACTCTACTTTTAAGGAGGCAGCTCTTCCCCAGTTGTATGTTGAGTGCCTTCTAACCTGAGTTTCTCATCTCTCAGCACCTTATCAGACAATGTTCTGTTGCTATTTATAAGGTTTTCTTTTTCTTTTTTTAAAGTAGATCACCAGGCACTTCCTTGTAGTGTGGTATTTTTGCTGAAACCCGTCCACCAAAGGTAACTCTGGAATACTGAAATACTTTTTTGTGTTAGTTACACAAT